AACAATATTTATTTTTAATTTAAATTCTTACAACTTGCATGATCAAGGTTGCCAAAAAGATCAATTTGTTAATTTCCCTGATTTCTCCACAACATTAAACAAGTTTCACGGACTAAATATTTTTCCGTGACATTTCCCTGACAAAAATTTTTCTTTTCTGATTTCCTTGACACGTACTACATTTTCATTGTAATTTTAGAAAATAAAGTACAATAATTATTAAAAATTAATAATTTGAGGTTATATTGCAAAATATTTAAGAAATAATAATTTCCGATATGTAGAGACTTTACCAAAATAAACTTTTTTGTAGACAATGTCGAATCATGAGCTTAGTGACGAGAACTGCACGCCGCCAGAAATGCGCGAAGCAGCTCGAGAAATATTAATAGATTTATTACCCGAGAAGTCCAGAGAAGCGTATGAAGAAACATACACAAAATTTGTCGATTGGAAAAAAGCGAATAAAGCCATAACCTCTGAAAACTGCTTAAAAGTGTACTTTAAGATGCTTATGAAGAGTTACAAACCGACTACGATGTGGTCCATTCACTCCAAACTAAAAAATACAATTAAAGTTCATGAAAATGTTTCGATCGAAACCTACAAGGAATTAACAGCACTGCTTAGCAATTATTCCAAAGGATATAAAAGCACAAAGGCCAAAATTTTCACGACTGAAGAAATCAAGACGTTTTTAAATACTGCTCCCGATGAAACTTATTTGGCACATAAGGTAAGTTACACAAAACTGTAAATAATAATTGCAAATACAAGCATCGAGTTTAACAACTTAAAGAAAATTGTTTAAATTATATATTTAAAAATTTATTTTACTTAAACTAAAAAAATTTATGTAAATAAAAACTTGTATGTAATTCCTTTTTATAATAATAAAAACAATATATACAAAAAAATAAAACATTCTGCAATTTAAAAGCAAAAAAATATATAGATTCAATTTTATAATGATTTTCAGGTTGTCGTTATTTTTGGTTTGAGTGGATGTTGTCGCAAGGGCGAAATTTACGCTGTCAAAGCTAGTCACATTACAAAGCAAGGAGCCCTTTTTGCAGTTGAGATACCTGATACAAAGAATAATGTGCCTCGAAAATTTATTATTGACTCAGTTTACGCCCCGACTGTTCAAAAGTATCTAGATCTTCGTCCTGCAAAAGTGCAACGAGAAAACTTTTTCTTGCAGTATCATAACGGTAAATGCACAAATCAAGTGATTGGCATTAATACCGTAGGCAGTATGCCGAGAAAAATTGCCGAATTCCTCGGACTAAAAGATCCTCAAGAATACAAAGGACATTCATTACGAAGGACGTCCGCTACCGTTTTGGCCGACACTGGAGCTACTACTTTAGATTTACAACGTTTCGGAGGATGGAAATCCGCAACAGTAGCTCAAAGCTACGTCGACGATTCAACGGCGTATAAGGTAGCGAACGCGGCAAAAATTTCCAAGGCCATCTCAGGATCCAAAAAGGAAAACTTAGAATCTAAATCGGAGAATGTTCCCTCCAAAAAACCGAAAATTGACGATTCTCAATCGAATGATCTCAAAGAATCTTCAGAGAAAACTTTTGTATTAAATAATTGTAGCGTTACTATACATTACAATAAGTAAGTGATGTGTAATTTGTGTACTTTTCTTTATGCACTTGCAATATTAATATTTTAAAACTAAGTATCTATAACAAGAATATTCAAAAAAGATTATATAAATATATATATTTGTAACTAGTTTCCAAAGTTAAAAAGATATAATAAAAATAAAATTTTTAAAAATAAATCTACTTTTTTATTCTTTTCTGATTACTTGTTATTATAATTATGATTAGGAATTCTAATAAAGTTATAATTAATGTCTCTCTTTTATTTATTAATTTTATTTTTTCTATTTTATTCCTATTTCTTTCGCTTTATTTATTTGTTTTTTAATTATTTTACTTATAAATAAAAATTATTAATATTATTATTTATAAACTCTCAGAATTTATTTATTTGAACGAACTGTTTTTATAATTAATTTTTTTATTCTTAAAATCAATTTATAATAAAATTTTTAATTTTTTAAATGTAATTTATTTCTTAATTTTAATTGCATTTTAACGAAATTAATTTTTTTAAATTAATTAAATATAATTAAATTCTTAATTTTAAAATTAATTATTCTGATTTCAATTTTGTTTAATTAAATAATTTTTAATTGTTTGAATTTAATTTTTTTTTCTGGGATCTATTGAAAAATAACTTGCCCACAAGTATAAATATGGATTTTTGCCAATCTTGTTCTTTTAAAAGTATGAGTTTGTTTGTTTCGGGTTTGGTTTGCAATCAACTTTTTATACGGTTCTCCCTTTTTATGACTTTGTTATAAAAAGTATCGTTCGTAATTCATATGAACGGCGTTTTGAAACTCGCGCCAATGTTTTGAAACTCGTCTGCGGCTCGGGCGGCTGCGCCGCCCTCGCCTACGACTCATTCCAAAAAAATTGCACTCGTTTCAAAAACGCCTACTGTTCATACTTATTACGAAATGTACTATTTCATACCTACTTATTTAGTACCTTTAACACCATCAAATGACAAGTTATTAAGAAAATCTGTAATTCGTCGATGAATAGAATCATGGAATACCACACAATTAGTTTAGAACACCGTTTTCTGTTACAAAATACGATGATACAAACGACATAGTTTATGATAACGATCTCATATACGATGTCATAAAAGATATATTTTTCAATGTTGATACAACGAACGTCAACCTTTAAAAATGACTTCTTTTAATTATGTGTCTATTATTATTAAATTTATTTCAAAGATACAAAGACTAGAAATATTATTCCTGAAAACCCTTTTTTAAAAATTAACTTTTTTTTATTTTTGACGTAACTTTTGACCTTTTGAATATACTATGGTAGTTATAGAAATTTATTTTTCACCTCGGAATCTAAAAGAGCAGAAATTAACCCGATTCATAAAACATTTTGTTATAGAAATTGTGATAATTTATCATTTTCCTTACATTTTTCATTAATGTTTAAATAATTGTGTAATTAATATATATATTTATATTAGAACAATTAATTCTGAATTTTTATCAGTTACTTAAAAAAACAAAATACCTTAAAATTATTAAGTAACTGCATTTTAATAATGTTACTGTTCGTTACAGTTATTGATTAAAAGTAAACTAAATGTGATATCACGTGCGGTTTACTTAATCCTTGGTTCTATTGACCAACGTGTGTCATAGGATATTATTCCATGTGGAATAGGACTTCTAGATTGTTTCATTAAATGTTGATTTTCCATTTTTTAGATAAAAATATTATATATATACATATATATACCTCATCTCATTTACATATCCTTTTTGAATAAGAGATACACAGATGTTTGAAATCGGAAAGATACAAATTAGTGTAGAGCAAACAGTACTATTTTAATTTTTTGCTCTAAAATAATCCCTAATAAATTATCGATGACTTCGATAGATTTATAAAATTTATCAATTTTTAAAAAATAATATACTACACAAAATGCCTTATTTTCTTTTACAATTTAAAATATTCTAAATTGATTTCAAATTTTATAATCAGCGATCCTAAAAACCCGATTTTTGAGTTTCAAACAAGTAAATATAATAAATTTTAAAAAAAGTTCTTCGACACATTGGATTCGTCCTTTCTAATTTTTAAAAATTGACATTAATTTCATAATTAAAGCTAAAAACAGACGATTAAGGAAAATGTGCTTGTTTAATAAAAAAATATCCCCGATTCGAGCTCAATGTAAAATATAAAATAAATGCTAAAAATTAAATATTTTTAATGAAAAATTCCATATAATTCTGCAATTCTAAAACCACACATTTGCATAATATTGTGCATTTACATACTGGACAAGATTAGTCCCATAGAGGTCCGAATGTTTAATAATGAGTCCTGTACTCTCTGAGGATAACCATCAATCGTGTAACCCTAATTAATTAATATCAACGAAAGCTTCAAGATATTAAATTCTGACGTTTACTAACTATATTCTGTTACTAACATTAAATATCAGACGAATAATATTTATTAAAATAAATTATTCACTTTATCAATTTAAACTAATAATTATTTGCAAATAGTTATAAATAATAACATACAGAATACATCAATTTTCAATAAATATTTTAATTATTGCAAAACAACATGTTTGATGTAAAAAATAGATAGTTGTTTCGAAATATTTTATTTCCCTTATTTAAAAGATGTTTTTATTAAACATAATTTAATTCTTTTTAATGGCTTCATTAGAAGTGAGCGAAACCATATTCATCATAAATCAATCATCTGTTAAATAATGTGCATATCAATATTTTATTATATTTTATCTTTTTTAATATTCGAAGATTCAATTCCTCGTTTCATGTCTGTAAAAAATTTTTTATTGAAAATTCACAAAATTTGTATTGGCGAAAATTTGGAAGGAATTTTGTGCAATATTCCCCAAGATTAATATAAATGATTTACAAATATTTAAATAAAAAATTTGATTCATATACGAGTTATTAAGTGGTAAATTTTTAAATAGTACCACAAAATATTGAATAGAGTTAGTACATGATATAAATATTATCTTCATGAGGAGTGGTTTTTCTATATAGAAATTTAACTCCAAAAATAGTATTCTATAGATAAATGACATTGATCTAGTATAACATATTGTAATTAAAATTAAGACAACATTAAATTTAACCCCTTAACTGCGATGACGAAGATTTGACGCACAAAATTGTCGTTATCAGCAGTTAAGGGGTTAATACTAAAACGAAGGTACGAGCAATTCCTTTGAGAAGCTAAGGAAGCAAATAAAATGTTTATATCCTTTAGTTTAAAAAGGAAGTTACACTATAGTCAAATATAGCAAAGCTTTGAGATTATATTAAAAAGCACTAGTACTAACACTACTAAAGCATTAGAATTGAGACTCCTCACCTTCTTTGTTAGCGTTGCTTTTGATTTCTGTAGCCTTTGGTGGTGCTGATGGTTTTGGTATTTCTGAAACAAAAATTTATTTTTAAAACCTGCTTTTTTATTATAAATCGTAGTGACTGCAAAGACAAAAAACTTATGGGATAAATTTTGAAAATTTTAAATGGTTGATCGTATGAACAAAATTTTAAAAAAGATTCTTATGAGTTGTCCATGATTTTCAGGCCTTAAGTTATACAATTACTATAATATATCAAAAAATAATAAAAAGCATAATGACTATTCGATTAAATACAAAAATTAATCAAAAATAAACACAGAAAAAAAGGTGGATAAAAAGTTGTAAAGATAGAGGATAAAAGTCGTTAGGATACAGGGTAAAGGATAAATTTGTGATGGATAAAAATGTTACTAAAATATTACTAGAAAACTGGATGTCATATTTGAGTAAACTGTATAATTTTAATAAAAATATTAGTAATTTTACACTTAACTTATTAAATCCACAAATTTTATATAAATAAGTAATTGCATGTGGAAATATTTTGCCTATAATTATTGTCTATTAATAAAAATATCTTTGACTAATATAATTGACAGCTGACGACAGTGCGTGAATAATCAGAACTGGGAAATTACAACTCAACGTCTGTATTGTTGCACGAAAGCAGAGTTGGGTAGTAACTGATGTAAACTTTTCTAACCTCAATATTTATATTTTATCACGAATTCAGAGAATCTATCAATGCAAATGAATCAAATATATAACAAAATTAATTATCAACACACATTTTAATTTTATTATATGTCAACAAGCGTTTTCCGTGTTTAAAGTATGAATAAAATTGATGAAAGTGGAAACAAATTTTCTTCCACGTAAGAATAACATTGTGTCGTCTGTTTGTTGTCCCTCCAGGCCTTTGACGTCATAACTTGAACTCGAAATATCTCGATGAACTGACACAGCCTAATATGCACAAAAAATTCAGTTACTACCCAACTCTGCTTTCGTGCAACAATACAGACGTTGAGTTGTAATTTCCCAGTTCTGATTATTCACGCACTGTCGTCAGCTGTCAGTTGTATTAGTCAAAGATATTTTTATTAATAGACAATAATTATAGGCAAAATATTTCCACATGCAATTACTTATTTATAAAAAATTTGTGGATTTATTAAGTTAAGTGTAAAATTACTAATATTTTTATTAAAATTAGACAGTTTACTCAAATATGACATCCATTTTTCTAGTAATATTTTAGTAACATTTTTATCCATCACAAATTTATCCTTTACCCTGTATCCTAACGACTTTTATCCTCTATCTTTACAACTTATTACCCACTTTTTTTCTGTGAATTCTATTAAATGTAAATTCTATAAATTTAAATTTAGTTAAATCAAAATTTAGTCATTTGTAATCAAAGTTATATCGAAAGAAAATCTGTCAAATGACAATTTGGTTAAATGAAAATTAAGTTAAATAAATTTTCCTTTTAATCAAGGTGGGTTAAATAAAAATTTAATGCTTACCGTATAGTCTAATTGAACCCTCTGTTTCTCCAAGTGAATTTTTGCTAATGCATCGATAATTTCCGAAGTCTCCGTTTTTTAGACTTCTTATAGTCAGTTTCATGGAAGTTTTATAACTGTTTTCTTCTATAGTTGTTGTATATTTTTCATTAGATAACACCATAGTGTAATTATAAATCCAGTAACTAATCGCTCTTGGATATGCCTCAGTATTGCAGTCAATAGTTACGTTTGTTTCTAATGGTGCTCCTACTAGCTGATTAGGCACCCAAATCATTGGAGAAACTACAACGTAATACAAAAAAAAATATTAAATAATAGATACGGTTTACAGTCGATCATTATTACTGTTGCTCCTTCCACCCAACACTAATTTCATAGGTCATAGATTTTTCAATTTTTATGGACCTTGGAATAAATGTAGTATTGTGGGAGATAATTATAAGAAAAAATTAATTTTGCATTTTTCAAAGAATTAAATTTTAATAATAATTTAGGATTAAATAATTAATATTATTATATTATTAATTGATAATTTCAAATCTTAGTAGAAAAAAATCAAAGTTGTGATGCTAGTTAAAAAAGTAAAGAAAAATTGATTTTGTCTTACATTGCATTTATATTGTTGAAATAACAGTAATTATTACCTTAAATATGAACAAAATCAATTAAAATGCCTCAAAGATAGTCATTTTTAAATAAAATGTACTCCAAACTTTGATGTTTGATAAAATCCAAAATTAAAAAAAAAGTCTTTTTTTCTTATTCTGCTTTTCTCACACAACAGAACATTTACACCAATTGTTAGAAAGCTCGTTCAATGAAACTTAAATTGCTGTAACTTCTAGTTTTAGAGAATCCTACATTTTTTTTTTGCTATATGGAATCACGAAAAATCCCTAAAAAAAAATTGGAAAAGTAGACTAAAAACATTGTTTATTTATAATATTAACTTTTAAGAATATATTTTGTTTAAAAAATATCACCTTTTATTCATATTCTACATATTTATGAAAAGTACATCTTTTAATCACTCTGCAAATCGAATTGTATTAAAATAGGTCCAACCAATTTTAAGATATCTAATATTTTCTAGAACGTTGTAAAAAAGTTTAATTGTTTATAACTTTTTACTAAATTCGAATTTTTGAAAAATTTTTAAGACCTCCAAAAAATAATTAGTTGTCCATTTTAGGGATTCTCACCCAGGTATGATATTCAACAAGTTATAATACATTAAATTCTATTTCTCTGAGTATAGTTTTTACTTACATTCAACATCCACTGTGATCCTTTTACTAACAGTTGGTGGAATACCGTTTGAAGCAATACAAAGATAAGCTCCCATTTCAGCTCTCGTAATTTTACTCAAGTTTAGATGCTCTCCTTCGTGCTTAGGCACTGAAAAAGAACAGAAATTAATTTATCTAATGATACTGAAGGGATATGTAGCTGTCTTCCTGATCTAATGAATTATACTCAATGGGAAATTGCCAATGGTTAAGATTGGCTAAATAATGGGCCAAGAATGGTTCCCAATCGTTTTTTCTTTGCTTGCTATTGGCACCCAATATTCGGCCGCGATTGGTAAAATCTTGGGATGATCACGACATTGACAATCATTGATAGCCAATATTGGTCCATCATTGGCTGTCAAGACAAAAAACGGATTCTCAAAAGCTTGGTTCTTAAGGGGTTTCCTAAATTTTTTTGCCCTAAAATAGAAGGTTTTTGAAAGATCGTGTACTCATAAGTTTTAAAATATAATTGATCAAAAGTTTTTACATGTTACTATATACGTCAAGAACTATTTAAAAAAAATTGCGATCTTAAAAAATATTATTATGCTCCTTCTACAGAGGTCGCTATGTACACTGGTCAAAATCAAGGTCCTTTACGGTAACCACTGTAGCTCATCGCAGAATCATCTAAAATAAAAAAATCAAACGTGATTTTAAAGTTTAAGACCTAATACAGGTCCTAAACCTCGAGATATTAAAAAAAATCAAAAATTAAAAAAATGGCAAGCTTTGGAACCCAAAAAACTGAAAAAACACCATTTTTTTGACAATCAATCACTCACAAAAACCTGATTATTGAATATTTTAAATATATTAGAGGTTTAGGACCTGCAAAAACTTACACTGAATCGAATGCAACTTGAATTTTTGAAATCGGTCAAACGGTTTTTGAGTTCTACTGGTTACCATTTTTAAATATAGTGTTTTGAGAAAAAAGCGTTTAAAGTTTTGATATCAAAAGGTTATAATTAGTCAAGCAGAAGTAACTAAATCAGCTTGAAAATTCTTACTCAGGGGTTTTTGGGGTCGCTGATTACGAATATGATGTCAGATTTTATAAATTCAAAATGGCGGATCCAATATGGCGGACATGAAAGTTAAAAATCAATTGCATTTACTCGAAACTTGGTACTCGGGGGTTTTTGGGGTCACTGATTACGAATATGATGTCAGAATTTAAAAATTCAAAATGGCGGATCCAATATGGCGGACGAAAATTTTAAAACTAATCGGATTTGCTCGAAAATGATGAAATGATATGAATATGATGAATTGTCCGTACTGGGTCCATGACCCTGTCGGGTTTATTATCAGCAAATTTTTAAAATATGACTTCAGATTTGTAATCATCGACCTCAGAAACCCCCAAGTAGTAAATTTCAAGCAAATCCAAGCATTTTTTAAAAACTCGTCCGCCATATTAGATCCGCCATTTTGAAATTTGAAAAATGGACACCGGATTCGTAATCAGCGACCCCATAAACCCCCGAGTAGGACATTTCGAGCCAATCTAAACACTTTTTAAAAAACTTGTCAGCCATATTGGATCCGCCATTTTGAATTTTTAAAATCTGACATTAAATTCGTAATCAGAGACCCCAATAACACCCGAGTAACGAATTTCAAGCAAATCGATTCGCTCGGTTTATCGTGGGCACGAAAGGGTTAATTATACGATCTGTAGACGCATATATATATATGTATTTTGTTAAATAACTTAAGATTATGAGCGAATTACGATCTAATGATTTAACCACACATTCTTAACATACTTTCCTATCAAAAAATGAAAAAAAAAAAATTCGATTTTTTTGACCAAAAAAATTTAGGAAACCCCTTAATTGGCTCATAGAAAATTATAAGGTATTAAAATAAGCTGCAACGCTTATTATTTTAATCCAATTTTGCTTATTTTAATACCAAAATGGATTAAAATAAGCAAAATTGGATTAGAGTAATAAGCGTTGCAGCTTATTTTAATGCTTTTTAATTTTCTGTGCTACAAAGACAGGGGGAGTTATCATTGGTTCTCAATAATAATGGTCCGTCTTGGTAGCAAATTATTAACCAAGAAAATGAATATTCGTTATTTGTCTGGGCAGCCAATGACAAACAAATATTGAATGACTATTAGTGACAATATCATCCAAAAATTTTACTAAATTTGTTCCGCTATTGTCAACCAATAGTTCAACAAGAAAAGGATTCAAAAATTTTACTTAATTCATTTCACAGAGATAATTCAATTTTTATTCTATAAATTGAACTTTCTAAAAATTTAATTAGATTAGATTAGAATCATTTAGTGATCTATTAAAATTATCCTAGAATGTTAAATTTTTTCCAGTCTGTTTTTATTTTCCATGTTGATCGAGGGGGAATTTACTAGTTAAAAACGTGTACACTTGACTACCAGTAATACACCTCATATTACCCTTATTACTAAGTATTACACGTTATTACAGAGTATTACACATTATTACAGAGATATTACAGACTTTTTTGCGTTATTACAGTACCGTAATAACGCATTATTACACGGTATTACACGATATTACACAAGTATTACAGGAAGAGTGTACACTTGACTACCTGAGTAAATTCCCCCTCGATGTTGATATATGTTATAACTTCATATTTCAAAGTGAATTTACAAAGTCTATTTTCGATAATTTATTATATTTTATCTTGATTTTTTTAAATAATTTTTCTTGATTTTCGTAATTTAATCTCGAATTTAATAAATTTGATCTGTTTTTATAGATCATCGAAATTAATGTTATTAAGGGGTATCAATTTTTTTTCTGTCATTATTTGGGATCTAAAATTATTTTGAATTATCAAAATTAAAAAAAAATTTTTTTGATCATTTTAGAAATTTTATTTTTTGAAAATATTAAAATTTTTAAAAATCCATACGATTAATTGTTCAGAATCATGAAAAAAGTTTATAGACAAATCAGCAATAAAAAATAATAAAAATTGCGACAGAAGTTTAAATTTTTATTTTTTGAAAATTTCGTGTTTCATCTAAAAAATAATTAATGAATTAATTTTTTTTCAATTGCCCATAGTATATTACAGTTTTAAGTACTCGATATTGTCAGAAAAAAATCGACCACCTTAAACAGCCTTAATTTCGAAAGGTAGAAATTTCAGCGGTCCCTCCCCTTAAGCTGAAAAAATGTTTCTGGTCAAAAACTCTTATAATTGGGTTATATTTCGATTGTTAAAATGCATTTTTGAAAAAATGGAAATGTTTAAACCTTGAAAATTAACTAATAATAATTATTATAAATTTTATAATTTTATTATTTCATTATTTTAAAAAAACTTTCACTTCCTCTCCCACAGAAAATATTAATACAAATAAAAAAATTCTTTTACAAAAAATTACTATCCAATATACCTACAAATTACCCAAGTTTGAATTCGGTTGAAGAAAATTTTTTTACCTTGGTCATTTCACCTGAAATCCCTCACTTATGCATTTTAACTAAAAATTAGTCCGTATAACCTACTTTTGGAAAATCGAATTTGTCACAAATACACAGCTTTTTTAGTGAGGATGTAAAATTGTTCAAAAAATTAATAAATTATGCAAAATACAATTTTTTGGTTTATTATTTAAAAATTTTTAAACTTACCATTTATCTGGTTTTTAGTGAGATTGATTATTGCGGTAGCTGAGAAATTGTGAGGGAAATTTATTTGATTCGCATATAATAAAGTATTATTGCTTAGAACAAAGATTGTTTATTATTTATTTTTAAATTACGGCATATTAACTTCAAGAAATAAAAATTATTTTTTGCAGGGTTGGCTTTAAGAGTTCGAAGTGCCCGTAAAAGATGTTATGATATCTAGGACAGGCGTTGCAGACGGTCTTCAGAAGTAACCCAATTAAAATGTCAAACGTTCTCAAATTCTATTACGAATACTTATATCAAAGAGAGTTGCAATTTTCAGGTTATTAAAGTATTTACATATTATACCTCGAGTATTTCGTGTGTACTCGAGTAAAACTTGACTAGTTTTATAAATGAGTAAATTTTTAAGCTCTTATAAAAAGCGTACAACATAGTAATGAGTTAAATAAACTTTATGTTTTGTTTTGGCTTACAAGTGTTCAGGAAATAAAAAAACTACAAATAGGTATAAAATGTTGACACGCTTAAAATTGTTTCCTTAATTATGATTTTAAAAATAAAGAAGAAAATTTAATGCAAATTAAAGGCTATTTTATCTATTTCTTATAATAGTTAATCAAAAATTTTATAAAAATTTGTTAAAAACAAAAAATATTTATCATATTGGTATTTAAAAAAATGCACTTTTCTGTTATCCACGACAATATATTGTGTAACGTCCTGCGTTATTTTATTATATTTTTCTTGTTAATTTTTGTTTTCCTCTTAATTTTTATTTGTAAATTTCTTATTGATTCTACAAGGAAAAACATGTGAACTGTGAAATCGATACAAAAGTCTATGAGTGCATCCTTCAGATGTTGACCGCTATATATTTAAGAAGTTATGTTTCAATTTTCAAGTCAATCAGTCAAATTTTTTTTGAGTTATCATGCCCATTGGTGCAAAAAGCATAGTCCCACAAGAATCAACATATTTCCGCAATTTTTAAAAATAATTTTTAATGTTCTTTGATTTTTTGAAAACTTACCCAGTGGGCAAAAAACCATGTTCGTTTTAAAAACGTTTTAGAACGTTTCATGTCTGCCAAATAATGTTCTGGAACATTTAAAGAACATGGATGTTCAAATAATGTTCCAGAACATTATTTGGCAGACATGAAACGTTCTAAAAACATTCTTAAAACGTTTTTAGAACGAACATGGTTTTTTGCCCACTGGGTTAAATACATGTACTTTATGCCATTAGTGCATGAAAAAGTTATTTCTTTAACAGTTTCGTAAAAAAATTCCATTAAAACCCGTCAAAAAATTTTGCCTTCAGGGTGGCGTAACCCCTGAAATACAGACAGATCAGTCCGGATTAGTTCAGAAATTTTACGAAAACATCCATAAATGATCCGTATTAGTCATCAATCAGTCTGAATGAAAAGATAAGTCCGAGATCAGTCCGAAATTGACATGAAATAAATCTGCAATTAGACCGCAACAATTTGATTTTAATTAGATCAAAAAACAATCCAAATGATTGGATCCGACATGATTCCGTAATAATCTGAAATCTTTATATGTCTGGAAAAATTAAAAATTAATATGTACAAAATCAGCATTCGCAGTCTGAACAAAAATTTTTGTCAAAAAGGAGTCCGAATTAGTCGTCAATCTGTGTGTAACGAATCCGGATTCAGTCAGGTCTAAAATCTTAATTGAAAATCTGTTTGCAAAGAATCTAGTATTAGTTCACAACAATTATGATTTTGTATATATAATTTCCGGATTCATTTCGGATTAAGATGTTATATTAGATTAAGACCGGATTGTTGCTGACTAATGCCGGATTTCTTACGTACAAACTCCGGATTATTCTGGACTCATTTTAGATTAAGTTTTCTGATTAACCTAGAATCGAATTGTTACGGACTGGTTTCGTACTATTTTGAACTTATCTCATATTTTTCTTTTTGTCTGTACTAATTTTGGAATATTTCATATTATTTTCGGACTGTTTTCGTACATCTAGATAGATTCAGTCCATTTAAAAATCTGAATCCGAAATGATTTTGTATAATCCGACACTCTGAAGTTTTTTTCAATGTTTGTTTGCATGTTTTTGCCTGAGCCGCAATCAACTTTTGCGTCCATGTTGCGAACGTAACTTTTTGTACTACCTGAACGAAAACTATGTCATTTGAGGGTACTGCCGTTCTAAATAATACAGATAAAAGCACAGGAAATAAATTTATGCGACTTTATATGTTAAGAAAGTAGTTTATTATATTTATTGAAAAATTTTGAATGAAGTAAAGAAGATATGAGCCGAGTCATTTACTTATAAATATTAAAAGTACAATTCGTAACATAGTATATGATCGACTAGTTGTCTATTTCTTGAGAATTAGTAAGATGTGAATTATAATTGACATCTTTATAACTTTTTTAGACACAAACAAACGGAGAAGTACTTTGCGACCGCTTGATTGCAAACAGCGGGCGTAAAAGTACTGTTCCGCCCGCTTGGTTGACCCCGAGTAGGAATTGAGTTACTTTGTGCCCGCACTAAGTGCCTGAAATGACCTACTTTTCGTGAAGGTATGACAAAGAAAGAATTTCCGCCTTGTATTACTTAAATCGTAATAGTATTTTATTTAATCGTAGTATATGTAAAAATAATTTACCTTTCATCCGTCGTTCTATGAAAATAGCCTCTGTGTCTTCTCTTCGCCACATTAATGTAGGTGTAGGAAACCCATCAGCTTTACAAGTGAGAGTGACATTCTGATGCTCTCGGACAGCGATTGTGCTTTCGGTTGAATATGAATCTAATATATTTGGCGGAACTGTTAATACAAAACAAACGAAGAAATTTTTATAAACAGTAATAATAAAATAAAAAAATTAATACAATAGAACCTTGGATATCCGAGCTATTGTGGAATGGACCCACCTCAGATAAAGCGAAAACTTGGATAACAAGGAATATTAATATTTTTAAAGGTATATATTAAGTATTTATTAATTATGCAAACATTAACATGTTCATAATACTTTTTATATTGAATTAAAATATAAAATACAAGAGTTCAAGAAAATAGATAGACATTTTTTAAATATTCTTTGTTAATCATAAAATATCATTTTTAAAAATGAATTTAAATATTTAGAACCATATAAACAATCAATATGAAATGAACATATATGAAAATTGTCAGTAATATGCAAAAATAGAAAATTATATTTTGTAGCTTAAAAACCTAGTAGGTTTATCCCAAATTAACAATCACTTTAATTCAAATGGTTCGCTCTTGGATCTAGTTTTCTGTACACCTGATATTTTTCAGTTAATTTATCACAAGACTCTATTTTACTAATAGATTGTTACCGTACATCTCTTATTGTATATTTTAATTTAGATAAAAAATCGCACATATTAAATATAAAAGATCTGTAAGTCAAAATGATTATTTATCTTTTTCTAAATTGAGATCAGACTGCAAATCATGTCTAATATTTGTTATAAGAATTATATTTCGAATACTGAAAATTCAATAATTGATAATTCAAAATATTTTTGGAAATTTGTTAACTCTACTCGCAAGAATTATCCAATGCCTGATGCAATGTATTTTAATGATGAAATTGGTGAAAGTTCCATTGATATTGCAAACCTATTTGCTAAACATTTTAAATCAGTATACACAATTCCAAATTTTCAAGAATCTGAAACGTACTTCACTTCGAATAATGAGGTGGATCTTAAAAGCATTGAAATAACTAGAAATGATATAGGTATTTGTTGAAATAAAAAATTTGGATGTTAATAAGGGTGCTGGTCCGGATAAAGTTTCAGATTCTCTTCTTCGCTCATGTGGGTACTCTTTTATTGAACCTTCATATGTCTTATTTAATAAATCAGTAAAATGTGGAGTGTTCCACAATGAGTGGAGAAAGGGTATAATAATCCAGTTTATAAAAGCGATAGTAAGAATAACGTCAAAAACTATAGACCTATAACATTACTTAGTGCCATACCAAAGATCTTTGAAAACATAGTATACGGTTCGTTATATAACGCGGTCAGTAATATTCTCATTGAAGAACAGCATGGGTTTGTTCAAGGACGTCTACTATAACTAATCTTGGTATATTCACAAAATTTATAACTTCTAACCTTGAAAAGGGTCAACAGACCGATGAAATTTACGCTGACTTTTCGAAGGCTTTTGATAAGGTCGATCATTGCTTACTCCTAAACAAGCTGAAAGCCATGGGTGTGTCTGACAAATTTATTTCTTTTTTAAATAGTTATCTGTCTAATAGATATCAAATGGTAAGAATTGGTAAAGAACACTCTTAACCGTTTTTAGCCACCTCTGGTGTACTCCAGGGATCACACTTGGGACCACTCTTATTTATTCTTTATATGAATAGCATAAAATTAGTTTTGAAGTTTTTATCAGTTTTATTATATGCTGACGATTTGAAAATCTAGAAATTAATTAATTCAAACAATCCTTGTCTTAATTCATCACAGTTGCAATCAGATTTAGATAGACTTAATGAATGGTGTAAATTAAATCACATGTATACACTGAGAGACCTTTTGCACCGTAACAGACTTTCGACAGACGGCTGCGGAGCATTCTAGCGGTCTGTCGACACGTGAAAGTCTTTAAAAATTATTTAATAGAATTCTCTTTACGTGTGAAGAGGATAAATGGTTAGTAGAATAAAACAAAACAAGAAAACACTTCAATAATTTATAAGTCTATCAATGTTTATTTAGAAAATGTCACTCCACAGTTTATTTTCTTTATTAACAATATAATTATATAATATAAAATTTAATGCGAAAATACCGCTATACGTCGTTTAGATCTAAAATCATTCTGATTTAAATTTGTCAGTTTAGCCACACCTTCCGAGTAGTGGGAAAACCCTTCTACCTTTTAAATTTCCCTTTCTTATTAATCGCGCAGCGACATACTGCCAGCCTTGAATGATTACATTCAAACATAAAATATTAATTATCAATAGGAAGCGGAGCTAGTTTTTTAACAGCGCGCATATATTCTCCCGAGGATGTTTTAATTTTAACCACTCTTACAATATTATCCTCTCCCGGAAATACCTCAATTATTCGACCTAAGACCCAACGCAACGGGGGTAAATTATCATCCCTTACTGTCACTAATCTCCCTACCTTGATATCCTCGCTTTGGCCATTGTACCATTTATTTTTAATATTAATTTCATTTAGATACTCATTGTACCAACGTTTCCATAAATTATTTTTTATTTTCTGTACATGTTGCCACGAGGATAATCGGTTTACATTAATATCAGTATAGTCTACAGTAGGAATACTTTGCAATGATTTTCCGATAAGAAAATGTCCCGGAGTAAGCACCCGAAGATCGTTTGGATCCGTTGACATCGCTTTCGGATAATTACCCATTGTATACTGTATGTCTCGCGGATTCGCTCTGCAACATTTTACACAGGAATGTATAATCTTTTTTACTACTGAACGACCATCGACAATCCAAAAATTTTCGCGAATTGCATATAAGGTGGCATTAATACCAGCGTGTTTCAATTCATTGTGAGTGGCACGTACGAGGAGATTGGTTACTGGGTGATTTTTAGGAATTAGAATCGGATGTTTGATTCCATTTTCGACATCGGCATTTTCAAGTCTTCCTCCTGCTCGTAGAAGTCCCTCTCTGATTATAGGTGTTAATCGAAGAATTTTCGAAACGTTAGGAATTATTTTTTGTTTAGACAAGGCAGCAATTTCTTTGGAAAATTCTTCCTTCTGAATTTGTTGAAAAATCCTATTCAATGAAACTTGCATCTCCTCCGAAGTTAATTCACACGAATTGACTGAGCGTTTTCGAACCTTATCAGCAAATCTGCAACAGTACGCAACAATCCGAGTCAATCGCGTCACCGACGAATATCGATTCCACAGCTCGAATTGATCACTCGAAACAAGTTTCGTATTCAGAATGGACAGTTTTGGTTCCGCAGGTATCTTAAAACTGTCAATTCCTATTGAGTGATCAGGCCAGTCTGATTCATTCAATTTGAGCCACGTAGGTTCATGTTTCCATAATTCATTTACGAGAAAATCCTTTGGTAGCTGTCCTCGAGATATAAAATCTGCAGGATTTTCCTTGGTAGATACATGTCTCCAGTCAGATGGATTGGTAGAATTTTGGATTTCCGTGACTCTATTTGCTTCAAAGGTTTCTAATTTATATGGTGGCGTATTTATCCAGTTCAATGTGATCATGGAATCAGACCAGAAATATATTCTCTAGAAATTTATTTTCAGCGCAATTTTAATTGCTTCATACAATTTAACGAGAAGTTTCGCAGCACATAATTCCAATCTTGGTAAGGAGATGACCTTGACAGGAGCCACCCTTGATTTTGAACATAGTAAAATAGATTGATTGATTGATGATATGCCTTTTGACTTGCGTCAGCAAAACCATGCAGCTGGCACTCCTTTGCCTCTGGAACGGTGTGGAGAGGGGAACTCTGTTTACATGCAGCAAATCGTAGAAAAGCTCGGCTCCAATCAACATGTCGATTCCTGATGGTTTGTCAAATTCGGGATCAGCTAAATTCAATGTTTTAGGAATTTTAAGGATATCTTTATTCAATGGCATGATAGGAACATTTCCGGTTATCTGAGGTAACACAAGGAAATCAAGCTTGGCTGAAAAGGAAGAATTTCTTGATTGGAATGTCGCAACGACCCACTCAGAACTATTTACCTCTTTATTATTAACAACTTCTATCGTAGCGTTAAACTTTGATTTCTTTAATTTAAGACGATTAGCTAATTCTCGAGTTATTATATTCGGTTGTGAACCGCTGTCCAAAAGAACTCTACACATATGTTTTCCCTCACAACTGTCAGAAACATCAACTACAGCTGTTGATAAAATTACTTCGGAAGAGTCTTTTATGTGACAATTCTTTACTTGAACCGAATCATTTTTCTTATCATTTGAATCCAAACTAGATTGTACAATTGAATCAGAATGCATCGCGGTATGATGTCTACGATTACAAATAGAACAATTTCTCGATTTACATTCTCCGATTATATGACCACGCCTTAAACAATTAAAACAAAGCCCCTTTTTCTTTACTATTTCTGTTTTCTGTTCATGAGGTAGTTTTACGAAATCTTCACAACTCTGAATAAAATGATTTTCATTACAATGATAACAGTGTATATTTCCCTGTGTTGTTACTAATGTTCTTCCCAAAATTTTTCTATCATTATTCGCTTGAGATTTAAAGACCTGAGTTACAATTTGTTTACCATGATTATTACTATTATTATTATTTATACCAAGATGTAAACTTTCTAAAATTTGACATTTCTCCCTTAAAAATTCAATAAATGAATCAAAACTAGGCACATTTATACCCTTCACCGAACGTTTCCATTCTCTCCGTGATTCTTTATCTAATTTTGCAGAAATTAAACAAATCAAAGGGACGTCCCACGATTCCATTGGTTGACCGAGTACTTTTAATGCTCTCACATGTTTAAGTGTCGTGTCTAGCAAATCACGCAAGCAAGGAGCTGATTCTTTAATTACTGATTGTAAATCAATCAAGGCTTGCATATGATTAACAACTATTATGCGTTTATTATTATATCTATCCTCCAATAATTTCCAAGCTATACCGTAATTTGCTTCTGACGTTTCTATATTTTCTATTACTCGAGCAGCATTTCCTTTTAAGTACGACCTCAAAAAACGTAATTTTTGTACATTGGGAATAGATTCATCGTTATGAATGATAGCAG